GATCAGAAAACTAGCTGGAGGTGACAAGAGCAGCTAGGGAAGGAGTGCCCTTCTGGGCTGCTTGTTGGTCACTACTACTAAGTGTTATTTCTGAGGATGTTATACACTATCACCTTCCAAAAATCTCAGTTCTCTCTCAGTCCCTTTGAAGTTAGACAACAGACTACCACTGAAAGGAACCTTTTCCAGCACTTAGATTAGCTATTGTAGCTAGTATAAAAGTTTTTTACATGTATATGCTCAACTAGTGGAAATTGTGTTCTGTCTGCAAATAGTTCTAACCATTCAGAGAGCATCTCCTTCACACATCTTCAGAGCGATTAGTCCCCTGGGTTACTTACACATTGCTTTTGTATAAAAACACAGTTGTGTGGAATTTAATTTCTTCCTTTTAAGACTGAGTGGTAAGTGCTAAGATGCTGATAGCAGTAGTTAGCTTTGTTGACCTGATAGTGTGCCATACTTCTTTTTATAGCACACTATTTTTAAGCACGTAAAGTACCAGACTTTACTAAATACCAGTTTTTAAATAGTCTAGAACTGGATGCTGTTGATGTGAAAACCATTGTTGAAATAGCCATACTGTAAACCACAAATACATAAGATTTAATCAATGATCAAAACCAAACTTGGAAAAACTCTTTCCAGACACATCCCAGACTTTTCTGGAACTACTTCACATCCTCTGGCTTGGCCCAGCCTTATTTAAAGAAATGCTTAAATGACAACACTTGCTAAAACCTACTGACATGAATGGGACTTAAATTAAGCAAAGCGTAAGGTTAGGATGTTTACTATCAGGATTTTCCCACAGCACTGAAGCAAAGCATATACTCAAGTGTTTTACTGACATGGGTGTCAGGGAGATGTGAAAAATATACAAAGCACATTAGGACACCAAGCTGTGTGATGTGGCTGACATGCCCGAGGGACAAGATACCATTCAGTAAGACCTAGGCAGGCTTGAGCAGAGGGCCCAGCTGAACCTCATGAGGTTCAACAAAGGCAAGTGCAATCAATCAAGTGCACCTGGGTCATGGAAACCCTCACTATCAGTACAAGCTGGGGGATGTAAGGATAGAGCACAGCCCTACAATGTCTGTTGTGATAGGACAAAGGGAAATGGTTTCAAACTAAAAGAGAAGAGATTTAGATTGGACACAAGGAAGAAGTTTTTTTTTACAGTAAGTGTGACACTAGAACAGGTTGCCAGGAGAGATGGTAGATATTCTGCCAAGGCCAGGCTGGAGGGCCTCTGAGTACCCTGATCTAGCTGTAGGTTTGTGGCAGGGGAGTTGGACTAAATGAACTTTAAAATTCCTTTCCAACTCAAATGAATCTATAATTCTATTTCTCTAAGCCTGGATGTTTCCTATCAGGATTTCCCTTTCTTCTTCCTCCTTCTAAACAAAGGTGCTGTTGATGTAAATAAGTAGACTGTCTTGAAGGCTGCAGACAATGTCCTTTTCTCCTGTTTTCCAGACACATAGTCTGGCAATATAAATTGAATTCTCCCTTTAGCACCCAGCCTATGGTCTATGACTTTGGCCTGAGCAGCCCAGTGCAGACGAAGGAAAGGTGTCTGTGTATATGTTGCCTTCAACTTCTATTCTGGACATGAAATGGAAGAATTGCGATGGAATGAATGAGATACAAAGCAATTTTTAAATCTTTTTGCTTCTTCTCCCACTGACTGCTCTTGATAATGTAATGGGTCTACATGAAGGAAAGAGGAAAATAAAAAAAAGGGGGGTGGAATGAGAACACATACCACTGATTATTGTTGCATTAATCTGATTTCTTTCTAACCTGTGTCAGGTTTACCCCACCACAATGCGAGCCTTGGGGATGGGAACCAGTGGGTCACTGTGCCGTGTTGGAGCTATGGTGGCACCATTCATATCACAAGTAAGAGCACTGCTGACAATGTCAGTAAGCCTTGAGTCAAACATTACCATCAAATACACAGGGATGTCGCTGAAGTTAATAGAAAAGGGGGAGGCATTCAATCTCAGTGTCTGGTTTGCTTTTTCAAACTCATTTGTTCTTTATCTGATATTTATGCAGAGTACTTGGACAGTCTTTCCAGACGTGGATCTTGCTATTATTTGCTGCTTTCTGTAAACTCATAGATTTCACAAGTGGCATTTTCTGGATGCTGCTGAGTCCCTCAGGCATTTGCAACCCATTGCCCACTCTCTAATTCCTAATTAACTGCTGGGCTCCCACAGCACTGAACAGATGTTTGATCTGTTTCTTTCTTTCTTTCTTTTAATCTGCAGGTTCTTATGAGTGCATCTTTCCTTGGGGCCCTGTGTCTTTTCTCATCTGTGTGTGTTGTGTGCGCAATCTCTGCCTTCACACTACCCATCGAGACCAAGGGCAGGGCACTGCAGGTTTGTATGGACTCTCCAGGAGCCTCTCCCTATCTAAAGGCTACCTAGAAAGTATAAATCTTGATTCAGCCAGAAAGAAAACCAAAATCTTCTCAGGGTTCATAAGCCAAAACAAGAACTGAGGGATAAACAGAGGAAGGTGCTGTCATAACAACTGAAAGCACTGTTACCCCAGTTGCCTGAACTCATTCCTCATAAAAGAACAAACAGGAATGCCTGTTCTAGCCCCAGCTCACTCACTATAGCATGTTAAATTAGTGCAAGCCCTTCTTTGCTATCTCTGGTCCCCATATGAAGTTGCTGCACGTATTCTCCTCTGCTGCAGGCAGAGAAGATAGCAGCTAACAATTAACACCTTAAAGTACTAAAGCCACTTTTACATCAAATTCAAGTCAAAACCCCCTGCTCCATCAGCCCTCTAACCTAAACCCTTATGGCTAGTGTTTCCTATAAGGACACTAGAGGTAATGAGACAAAACACTAAGCCCAAAGTTTAAGGAAAGTCAATTATAGGCAATTAGCTGTAAGAGCATGGGAATTTTCATGTCATGGAAGAGGCATGTCCTCTTCCTGCATGTTCTTCTGCAGTCTTACCCATACAAGCCAAAAAATCATAGGATGTAATCCAGACTCTTTAGCAGCCTAGGGCCAGACAGATGTTTGATTAACCTGCTTGTTATCAGATTCAGGACCAGACTAAAAAAATTGTATACAAACACTTACATACATACATAATGTATGTATATACACACACAAGTTCATTGGGCCACATCTTAGGTTTCCACAAGGTGCATGGGACAGTTTTTGAGAAAGCAATTTATTAATAATCGACTGCTTCTTTAAATGAATGTCTTTTTAAAAATAAAGCCTACTGTTTTTGATGTTTTAAAACATCTATATGAAAATCCAAAAAAGATTGGGAAGAATATACAATTTTAAGAAAGGAAGTGGAAAAAGCAACTTCTTCTTTTGTGCAGAACTATTTGTGCACTGTGAAAAGTTGGCATCAGATCTAATATTCAACTTGCAAATGATTCTCTAGTCTTCCTTTCAGAGATCAGTGTGTGTGCAAAGCCATACAGGCATTGCTGAATTGTGGCTGTTGGACATATTGTCCAAGGGTGTCACACAGCAGTCATCCAATTCATGTAATAATTTAAAGAGAGCTCTTGAACATGGTAACGTTCAGTCCTATGGCTCCAGACAATCCATGCATGTCTCAACATCAGGTTCAAACAAAACAACTAAATGAATCTTCTTGTGTAATCTACAATGAAATTTAAAAAGCATACAGACCCATGGTCTGGCTGGCATTGTCCTCAACGAGTGAGGAGCTGTGACCCTCAGGGTTCTGTACTGGGACAGATACTATTCACTGGTGATGCAGAGTGTACCCTTAGCAAGTTCGTGGATAATACCAAGCTGATAGCGTGGGAAGAGATGCCATCCAGAGGGACCTGGACAGGCTTGAGAAGTGGGCAAATGAGAACCCTCACGCAGTTCAACACGTACACGTATTCAAATGGATATTATTTTCCCTCTGTATTCATTTCTGCTGTTTTTCATATGCATTCTGTTAATTTTATGGTTTTTGTATTTTTTTTTCCCTCTCTTAGCAAGTAAAATGAAAGCGTTTGATGTTGGATTGGGTACAAAAGAAAAAGAAACTTTGGAATCCATAATTTCCTGTGAGCCACATTTGATGTTGATTGCTTCTCCATACCATTTCCATTATAGAAAAATGCAACCGATCAGTGGAAGAGCTATGATTTGCATAGACAAAGGGTAGCTTTCTCAAGTACCTTCTTATGATTCAATAAAAATGTTTTCTATCCACGTCATGAAGAAAAGGAAGACTCTTTACTAGTGCTATTACTAGTGTTATGCCACACACACACAAAAAAAAAAAAAAAGGAAAGAAAACATCATCCCTAATTGATTAAGTGGACAAAGAAGAAAAAAATACACAAAGAAGATATGCTTTCTGCCATAGTAGCTGGGAGGACACAGTACTTACTTTTAAAAAACAAAATAGCATTCCTCAAATATTTGTTCTTATCTTACCTGCATCAAAAGCTAAGTTCAACATCTCAAATGTCACTGCAATGGTAATTTCTGAAGGTCCTTAGGGTGACATTCAAAACCACAAGATGAAAGCTGAGTCAGATTTTTTTCCCCATGGATTATTTAAACAGAGACAAGGTCAAACAGATCACTGAAAAAGTTGTCTTGTCCTTGTGCCTGATGGTAGCATGCAAATGAGGTTCTCAGGTAAACAGGTTACCAAATTTAAGTTCTTTGGAGACCTGTTTTAATCACTTTCTGTACTAGGGCATTTGTGATGTTGCAGGCTGACAGAGCTATCCTGATCCATCTTGTTTAAGATGGCAAGCCAAAATAAAGCACACACATCATTTGTCATCTGGACATTCAAATGGTCTGAATTGCCAGCTTCCATGGCTCCACAGTTAATGCAAGACAGCCAGGTGGTTGGCTGGCCAGCAATATTACTGACTTATTAGGCAAGTGGCACCTGCATTGTTTATCACAATCTCTTCCTCCAACCTAGTAAAGAACTGAGTAAAACAAGTCTTTTTTTTTTTCCCCTTTTTATATTTTTCTTATGTACACACAACTGGTTCTCAATGACGAGGGGAAATGCACTGATGTAAGGTAATTCCTTTTAGCTTCTTTCCATCTCAGGAGATGTCTATTTTGATCTCTAGTGCTGCTGATTCTATAAGCTGTTGCAGTACTAGAAGAAAAATGTCTGAATGAAAAACAGACCGCAGAACAGTCTTATACTCTTAACCACATTCCCCAGCAAAACACACTGTGACTTGTGAGGAGGGGTTCTTTCTGAATAAACTATTTTCAATTTGTTCCACTGCTGCAGTACAATTATTTCAAGAAGTTTGCACTGTTTTGAGGGGAGAATCAAAAGCAGAGAGAGCAGCAACTGGACTGCAAGAATACATTAACATTCCTCTCCAGTATCTCTCACTGAGAGAACAACTTGTAGATGAAGCTACATAGGTGTCAAACTTCACCTCTAACAGCACCAAGCGTTCTATGAAACTTGTGCTTGCAACTTTAGGTGTAGAGAAACATTCATCAGCTTTCTCTGGAAGCACAGTTAACTTGACTTGGGTATCCAGGACTTTTGTAACATTAGATGTTGCAGCAACAGAGCCTCTCATTTCTTAATTCTGTGCTCCTGCAGCACAGTGATTGTGCCTGTTACGTTAAAATGGTCTCCCTCACCATCCTGTTCAGCTCCTTCACTTTCACTTCTCATTTTTTCCTGGAACTCTGGGATGGTAGAGCTTCTGCTACAAAAAACTCCCCTTAGGTAATTAAAAATAATAATAATAGTTTTAGAAGGATAAATTAATTGCTACTCTAGGAAGCTCAACACCCAGTCAAACCATCACAGCACTTCAAAAGCTGTAGTGACTGTCAAAGGCCAGCTGCAAGCACACCTGAGTGTTTTTCTGAAATATCCACAGCATTTAAATATGCAGGGGCACTCTGGGATAAAGGCAGGTGAGCAGCTTCCCAGCAGGTAAAAGCAAAAGATGCGGCCTTTTGCTGAGGGTATATGTACACAGCAGGAAAGAACAAGCAGCACTTCTGTTTAGGTTTGCAAGGATCTATATCCACAGCACCATATTAATGCTACATAACAAGTAAAAAGCAGGTCTGCGTAAACACAGATGTCTTCATAAATCCATCTGCAAATCTCTGGCACAAATCAGAGCTCAATTTATGCAAGAGATTGTCTGCTCTTCCTAAAAAAGACAGTTTTCACTTAAGATGACATACGTGAAGAGTCTAAGCCAATAGCTGCAGCAATCATAGACATGTACTTTAAATCTGCAATTGCTGAATGCAGAAACAACCATCTACATTGTTATCAGCACTTCTGGAAAGCAGGAAAAAAAAGAAAATTCCAACATCATTTATCTTCAGTTTCTAGTGGTTTTTACAAGGACAGATAAAGGGTCAAGGAACAAGATCTTTTTTTTCTAAAGCCCTCCCCCCTCCTTTACACTTGTTTATTTAACAATGGCTGCATTCCCACAATAATATTTAGAAATTTGGAAAAAGAATAAGATCTTGTGGACAGAAAAGACACTTTTCTTTCCCTCCCTAAGCTTACCAAAAAGCTTGATAGTTGCAAGCAAACTTTTTTTCCCTTGAGACTTTCCGTCTAATACTAAAGTCCATTAAAAAGAAGTACATCAAACTTGTGAGGCACCTTTTAAACAACATTTTGTATAGGAATACCATTGTTTCTTGCTGGCTGTGGGAAAATGGTACAAAACGAAGCACCGTGTCCTTTCCTTCCTCTATTAAAAACTCTCAAATCCCTTTTTTTCTTTAAGTTATTTTTAATACATTCTCCCTCACATTTTAAAATTAACCAATAACTTCTTTAGGAGCAACTACACTTTCATTGTATCAGTCAGTATTGTAGGACAACAATATTACAACATCTGTTTTCATGGCTTGTGTTAAATACAGTACAAAGAAACCAAATCATGGCCAGCCACATGCCTTTGGTAAAATTAAATGTCTGGTGAGATCACATTTTCTTCAAACTCAGAAAACCATATGTTGAACCTATGTAACATCTTAAAGTTCAATTCTATACAAACTTCTTTTCTTCTTCAAAGTAAAGTTAAACAGCTGTCATCTCATACAAATCACAGTTTCTGCGCTGTTCCAGAAGTATGCTGCAAGTTTGGAACTTCAAGGAAGCTCTCTGCATGCTCTGGATCTCCCCTGGAATTGTGTTTCAGACAAGGGGTAGAAAGTCGAGTAAATATCCACAGACCTCCAGGTCAAAGCAGTCATGACTCTTCCCCTTTCAACAACAGTCAGTGATAAATATCCTTAGTTTTTACAAAACGTTCCACATGCGACTCATTTAAGCAACTGACGGTCTTCTCCTTTAAGACGTTTTTTCCGAGGCTGTACAATGTCATCATCTGAGTCATCACTAAGTTCTGGATTATCTTTTTCATTCTGGCAGTTAGATTGTACAGGGAACTTCCTCCCAGGATAAAGGCTCTTTAGTAGTTCTTCAAAGTATGCTTCAAGTTTCATGCCGGCATCAGCCACTTCTGAATCAGGCTGTTGGGTGAATTAACAACATCAATACATCATGAAATAGCTTTATATTTAAAACACATTATGTTCTTCAGGTGCTCTTACAAGCTACAAAAATCAAACTGCATTAAGAATATATATAGGTATGTCTCAAGGCTGCTAAGAGAACAACTGCACGAAATGCTGTAATTTTTCTAGGTTACAGACCTACCTTTAATTATGGCAAAAATATTACTAGTATGGACAATGACTGCACCTCAGAAGACCAGGCAGTCCTGAAATCATTCATACCCACCATGGTTGACCTGTTTCCTGAAGTTGAGGTCACCATAGCAGTAAGTATTCCCAGCAACTGCCCTGGATGAGAACCTAAGTGAAGACACTTAAAAAAACCTAATTTTCATTGTTAATTCTCTCTTTTTGTCCACTCAGTACCTGCACCCCCTTTTCAGCAAGTGTTTCCTTACAAAACAGTGAGGGTTTAGATAACAGCCTAAGTCATTCTTGGGGTAAATAAGGGTAAGACTTCTGAGAATGAAAACTCCAATGAATTTGAGATATAATGCAATGAGGATTAAACCAAGTTTTCAGCCAAATGCTCACCATTAATATCTATGATGAACAATCATTCTTCTCCTTACCTGTTTTCCTGCCATTTCAGTTAGCATATTTGTTACAGCTCTCCTCCCTTCAATAGAAGGATCTCATTTGCATAGTCATCTAACATCAATGTAGTTTCAAATGTGATCTACGTTTTCTCTGGGCATCATCAATGATCTCTGATCATCATCAATGTAAGTCTAATTAAATAAATAAATTCTATCCCCACTGTGGTTTTCCTGAAAGTATCTAAGCCTACAAAAATACAAAAAAGTGTCTACTTCTCTAACCTCATTAAATTCAGCACAGTTTTGGAAAATCAGTCTGAAGTCGGCCACAAAATCTTCTGGCTTTGTGTAGAATGAATCGTTCACTTGAAGTCTTTTCTTGATGGTTGACAAGTCCATAGGCTTTTTGATTATTTTGTAGTAATCAGGAACCTAAACAAAAATGAAAAATTTTACCAGATGCAGTCACATTTGTTGCACGTTGTTTTACAAACCTTTCCATCTGAGGGAGAGGGGAAAACATAGCCTCATCTTTTGAAATACAACTCTTAACACGTAAAAACTGTACCTTTTACAAATACAGTTACTGGAGTAACAGTGACACATGCTAGTTTTACTGGCTAAAATATATACATCTCTCCCAACACCTCTTTTAAAAGAGAAGCAAAATTAAAATAATAAAGCCAACTGCATTTACTACGTGGAATAAAGCAAATGATGTTGACATTGTACGTCAGGTGAACCATCTATTAAATCTCACTCTCAAGACTGTCATATAACAAATCTGGCAACCCATTTAGAGGCAGTAAATGTAATGCTTAAAAGGATGTTCAGTGATGAAATATATCCTTAGAAATGGTGGTAAACTACAGAGATCAATTATTTTGGCATTTCAGATGTACTTTCTTATTCAAATGGAATAAGAAGGATGCATTGGGGCATTATTACTTATTGATGAAGATTTCCACTGACACGTCTTGAGGAACATAAAAGAGGCATGTTGGACCACACTAGTAGCAATTCTGTGCATCCTGGAACTACAGTTTGATTTTTCTTCCACTGCCTGATGGACTCAAGTTGTTTTTAGCATTTTAAATTCATAAACTTACAGCTAATAATAAGGAATTCTGTTTCATGGTTGTACTAAGTAAGACTCTAATCTTCAAAATCGGGTATTTTTTTTAGGAATAAATATGTCTCCCAATTAATTTTTTAGTGATAACATTCAGCATTGTGAAAACAGCAGGCAGTGTTAAACGTATTTCTTGTGCCTATTTTTGAAGTACTTCTCAAAGTAAGTAAAATCAGCTCTTGGGAAATTTTGCTAGTAACTTCCTTCCAACCCAGTGTTTCATCTTTCATAGAATCTTAGAACGGCTTGGGCTGAAAGGAAATTCTAACATCATCCAACCCCACTGCCGCAGACAAAGTTACCAAATCTCTAAATCAGGCACCAGCTCAGGCTGCCCAGGGCCCTGAACACCTCCAGGGATGGGGCATGCACAGCTTCTCTGGGCAGACTGTGCCAGAGCTGTCCAACTGCCCTTCAGACAGTTTTAACAAAATCAAATACACTCAACGTCCACAAAACTTGACTTCTGATTATGAGCATAACAATGCCATTAGGACCATGCCAATTATGCAACTGATTAATAGAAAATGAAAAGAACTAGAGTACATACTGTAGGAGGAACTGGATCTTGAAAAGCAAGACTCATTTCGTGACAGTAGAGGTATAGCAGCAATCTTTCACACTTCTGTGTCAAGAAAAACAAATACACAAATAGAAAACTACACGATCTATTCTAAAATAATGAACTATAAAACACTGAACAGATGTTCAATACTCCTTCAGTTTCTAAGCAGAAAAGTGAGCACGGAAGCTGTATTTGGAAACAAGCTTGTCATAACTAATGATCTATAGCATTTATTCTCTGCAATAGATACACTGTATTTTTATTAACACTCAAATGCAAGTTACAAACCTCATACAGTTACTAATAGTGTTATTTAGCATTTGCCAAGTGCAACAAAAATTCCATGGGATAAAAATAGCATATGTAGCTGTTAGTTTATTACAAACATTCAGAGAAACCAGTCATACTTTTCCTGATTGGTGTATAGCTGCTCTGTGCAAAGCTCATTGTGCTTTTTGTTAGCAGTGGGGAGAAATCTGTTCTGTGTGTACCTGAGCATATTGAATGGAATTTTGAACCTTGAAAAACATTCAGAAAATAGTTTTTCTGATTTTATGCTTGATGATCCTCCACTGGAATATTTACAAGAATTATAATTTGCATTTAAAGCCAAATACAAACACAGTAAGTTATTCCCTTTTAGAGTGTATCAAATACAAATAATGGATCTACATGTAGACTTTGCCCCCAAATATAGTTAAAGCCAATCTATACTAAATCTGGAAAGTAGAAAGAAAGAAAGAAATTTCTCAAGGCAAGGTCACTGTGTATGAGGTCAATGTTAGGAACAGTGCTTGGTAATTCCTAGAACACATTCCCAGTCCACAGCATGAGACAACAACCACTTCTCAGACTTTCAGAATGTGTTGCTCAGCACTTTTATATGAAGGCTGTTAACATCTCAGAGTCTATTGAGAAAGTCACTTCTCCCATTTTACTATCTTTTTTTTTCTTTTTTTTTTCTTTTTTTTTTAAATGCATACATTTCTCAGTAAAAGAAACAACAGGACTCATCCTTACCCTACGGTCTATTGGTGCCAAGCCCACAGTATCTTCCAGTTTTCTTTTTTCAGGGTTATGAGTTGGTTTATCACAATCATATTCAACTTCTGGCTTAGACAAATCCCGACAGAATGTACAAATCCACTCTCCACTAAATGAGACAGACAGATATATTAACCGCAGTGAAGAAGCACATTCTTGACAGAAGACTTTCTACAGACTTCTGGAGAAGTTCTTCATGTATGGGTTGGTATTTTTTCTGCACTGTGCCTTGTTCTGTTGCTTTTGTTTGTTTGCTATTTTTTTTTGTTTGCTTGTTAAAACTACAAAAAGCAGAGATAGGTACTGCTGGCAAAAATGCTTCCTTAGAACTTTCTTTTTAATGGCATTGGTATTATTAGTGGTGTTATAGTAGGAAAATGGCTTGTCATAATAGACTGACAGTGACTACCTTTGTTAGTGTTAAAACTTTTCACTTGACCTCATAGAATTCAACCGAAGCATTAAGAGGTCTGCTTCCTAGCTACAGAGAGAATGAAGGATTCATTTGCAGACACTGGTTCAAGAGAAGGAAAAGTATTAAGAGTTATATACCAGAAACTGTATTTTCTCTTTACAAGCTTGATTGCAAGATATTCCTGCTCTATACAGATAACTCTGGAAGAGATATTTTTTTGAGCTGTTCCTGATTTTATCAGTTACAATCTAGGAAAACCCTGTAGATTTAATTGACAACAGAAGAAGCAGAAGACCAAGCAAGTTCTGGAAGCTGACTACATTCACCAACTCTCATTCAGTTTGTGAACTTCTGTAGCTTTTGGAAAAGCTATGAATAATAAAGACTTTGGGGAACTTGCACCCCTGCAGATAACCACAAGAGGGCTGAGTTGTACTTCACATAGGAGACACAATTCAGCAATAACTGTTTATGGGAACCAACTGCATGCATTTACTCCGAGATCTTATAATAAGATCTTCACAAATGAAAAATAGTTTCTGCAGCAGCTTTCAGTGCATTTTGATAGTAAAGCAGAAGACTTTCAAAGTTAGGAAAACAAGCCTGTCTTACTGGTTCTCGCTTAGAGTAATTCAAGGATTTCCATCCTCTGCTAGTTTTAACATACGGTAATGAATAATGGGTGCTTCCTTTCAAAGAGAATTTACTTTCAAACAGTTCAGCTTAGCAAGCTATTTACATGATACTGACATTTCTGTGCATGGACCAGCATCAAAGGTATTGTGCGACACAGACAAAAATAGATAAAAGTCATGACCTGAAGATCTCACAATACAGGAAAGGCAGAAGATGGAGGAAAGGCACATTCAAATATACAAGTGTAAGGGAAAGTACGATGGGCTAGAGTGAAGAAAAGAAAAGATGCAGTGACCTTGTGAATCTACAGGGGAAAGTGTTCTGTCTACCTGAAGCAAGAACAAAAAGCAATCACGAAAGCAGCTGTTGAGACCACTGACATAATAATAAAGGATTTTTTGTGTGTGTACGTTTGAAGGAACTAATGGTTAGAGACCAAAGTTTGTGAACTATCCCACTGCAGCAGCAAAAACAAAAAACAAAAAACAAAAAAAACACCATGAAGATGAGAACAAAAATGTGATACATTCTGAAGCCAGGAGGAAATTTAAGCTAACTATGGTTCTGAAGTCCAGGAACATAGTGCACTTGTATTAATATGCACCTTTACAAAACTGAACGCTTCTCAGAAAAGTTGATTTGGCTCCACTGTGCCTTGGACATTATCATCCCAGTTTCCATTGAACAATCCAGTGAAAATGAAAACTTAAGAAGATTTATTTCTGAAGCTTTTATTTTAATAGAAGCAAAGTCTTGTGAATATGTAGTTATCTACCTACCTACATCCTTACAGATCTTTTTCCTCCTTTCAGAGAGGCAGAAATGTTTATTAGCTTAAGTGCATACTGTAACTTTGCTGAGTTTTGCTTACGGCACAAAGCTGCAATATAACATCATTTTATTTAAAGAAAAAGCCCTATAATTTGAAGTTTCACAATGTAAGAGAAACATTTTTATGTGCCAATTTTACAGATATTTAAAAGATATACTTGCAGAAATATGCTTGTTCAGAGTAGCACATAAGCAGAGATGATCAGCATACAAACCTAACTTGTTATCCAAATGTTTTATCCCAGCAAACTGTGCTGATATTTAAGAAGAATACCCAATATTTACATAAAAGCATTAAATAGTGAGCATGTTATGACAGATGTCCTGTCCTTTAATAAGCTTATTGCATGGCATTTCCAAGCTGTAACATTGCAAAATGCTATTTATCCTATTAAAGACACAAACTCAAGAAGCAAATGTCAGTAATGTTTATAATGACATCCTACGTAAGACCGAATTTTGAAACTCAAGGAGCCAAGAGTTGTTTTCTATCATCCGCTCAAGAAAGCCTACTGCTCATTTCAACACAGAATGAATGCAGTGTTACTAGAAGATGGCAGGCACTACATCCCATGCTTGATTGTAGCTACATTTAGCATTATAGTAAATTATATATTTAACACAACATTAGCTTAGACTTTTTTTTAATATTAATAAAATATTTAAAGTAAACCTTTTCTGTTGCCCTTAAAAGATTCTATGATAGACCAGTAACTCTATGGCTCAGTTTTAAGACCACAGATAATAATAATGGGTGCCCTAGATGTAAGTGATTGCCAAACAACTGAAAAGTTTTATTACAGATTTTGCGGCTGCAATTAAGTTAAACTGAAGTTTCAATGCAAATTCCAGTTTTCACCAATTAATAAAGCCGCAGACTTCAAGACTTCAAAGATGATAGAGATTCCTTTGAGGCTCAAACTTCTATGGAGTTTCACAATGTAGAACTCACATCTCTTAATGCAAGTTTAGTTGAAATTAAAGGGATCTTAGTTACCTTGGAAAGCTCATCAACGAAGGGACATGACAGGAAAGATGGAATACTTTGGGACATTTCTCACAGCAAAGGAGCTCCCCACCATTTTGACATACTGCACACCAGTCTTCATTGGGATCGTCTTCTTTTCTGCCCTCTCCAGTGTGTGAGGGGCCTATCCATCCTATCTTGGCACTGGTTGTATTCTCCTGCAGTATCCTTGGCTGATCATCTGTGCTGTCTGGGGCATCTGTTCTTAAAACAGCTTCATCAGAAGTTGAGTTATGATTACCATCTAACAGCAATGAAGTAAGTATGCTTCTTGAAAAGCTGGTCTGTAAGAAGAAACAAGGGAAATTTGATTAACTGCTTATTTGAATTTAGGTGTCCCCAGCAATCACAGAATCACAGAATTGTAGGGGTTGGAAGGGACCTCCAGAGATCATCGAGTCCAACCCCCCTGCCAAAGCAGGTTCCCTACACCAGGTCGCACAGGTAGGCGTCCAGGCGGGTCTTGAATATCTCCAGAGAAGGAGACTCCACAACCTCCCTGGGCAGCCTGTTCCAGTGCTCCGTCACCCTCACCGTAAAGAAGTGCTTGCGCACATTGGTGCAGAACTTCCTATGCTCCAGTTTTCGGCCGTTTCCCCTTGCCCTGTGTCCACATTCTGCTGAAAAGAGTCTGGCCTTGCCATTCTGCCCCCCACACCTTATATATTTATAGATCTGGATCAGGTCCCCTCTCAATCTTCTTTTCTCAAGGCTAAACAGACCCAGCTCACTCAGCCTTTCCTCATAGGAGAGACGCTCCAGGCCCTTCACCATCTTCGTGGCCTTCCACTGGACTCTTTCCAAGAGATCCCTGTCTTTTTTTGTACTGAGGAGCCCAGAACTGGACACAATGACTAAACTGACCAGAATACAACACTCATATGCGGGCAGCCATACAACACGTAACATGTATGCAAAAATTACGACTGTTCCATGACATCAAATACATAACCACAAGAAATTAGCTATGAGAGGCATTTCTGGCATTTTAAATACCACTCCTGTAATGAAACTAAAAATAAAACAATTTTTTGACACCCCAAAATCTAGCAACCTTACATAGATCACTACAGTATGACTAGAAAAACTTCTTAGCACCACATGAAAATTTGGTGTTTGTATTATCACAGAATCACAGAATTGCCAGGGTTGGAAGGGACCTCAAGGATCATGAATCTCCAACCCCCCTGCCACATGCAGGGCCACCAACCTCCCCATTTAATACTAGACCAGGCTGCCCAGGGCCCCATCCAATCTGGCCTTGAACACCTCCAGGGGCGGGGCATCCACAACCTCTCTGGGCAGCCTGTTCCAGCACCTCATCACTTTTCTAGTAAAGAAATTTGTATTTGTAAGCTATTTCATGCTTTCCCAGGTT